TTCATTTTTCTAAAAGTAATAATCTGTCTCTGTTTTTTAAATCTAATCCTTATTATTCTAAAATTATTCAAATTCTGTGAAAAGTAAATTATCACTATGTATAAAGACTGGAAAATATGATGGACGGCTAAGACATGATAAATGCTCATATAAAAAATCAAGGCAAAAGAAGAAAGATTTAAGCAGAGGGGAAAAAAACATTAATGCTAAATACATGATAGAATTATTTGTAGTTCCTATTTACTTGAAATATTTCTTCAAATCCTACATTTTCCCCACTTGTAGAATGAAAGCAAAACAGTGCAGATGATGTTCAAGAAAGCAAAATATAATATGACCCACATTTCGGCTTATCAGACTTCTGTTCTTGAGATCCCATATGTTGGTAATGAGTTGAGCATGTTCATTCTGCTCCCTGGTGAGATTGCAGATAACTCTACTGGATTGGAAAAGGTGAGTTTTTCTTCATGAAACAGGATTTAAGCCCTTGACCTTCTGAAACCCCCTCTGATACTAACTGTACACTGTCTTTTTTAATACTGAAGCTTGGCTTTCTGGAATTATTAGTGCCATTGGGTTGACTTGTATTTTCCCTTATTTTGAAAACCCAACCCCAAAGTCTAAAGAATGTGTGCGAGGCAGTTGATAAGGTTGCCAATAATGTACATTATTTCTTCTGACATTACTAAGATGTAAGTGATTCAGTCTTTGATTCTTCAGTTTACACTGTTTCACTCTGAAATAGCTACCGAGATTCATAGCTTGAAGGAAAGAATAAAGCAGTTTATATAGCTGAGGAATTTTTTTGTGTGGGTTTGTGCCTTCAAGTAAGGTTTTGTTCTGTCAACTGTCAGGACAAATCCAAGCAGTTTATTTGGCAACGTTTTCAGAAGTTGCTTGCCCTTGCCTCCTTCCTAGGACTAAGAGAGTATGACTGGCCTCAAATCACCAAATCTCGTCATTCATATCGAAGTGATGATTTATAACCCAGTGCTATTAACCATTATACAAAACTATGTCTTATTTACTTTTCTTTTAGCATTTATTTTAGTTTTTAGCATAATTGTAAATTATTGGGTTTTCTGGAATTAAAGTTGGTATAAAATTTAATATAAACATGAATAAATTATAAAAACATTTCTTAACAGCATGCAAGTTTTCTCTGATACAATATATATACATTTATCTGTGCTTTTGGGTAAATAATTCTAGAAATAGTGACTGTGCCAGGTGGATTTGGCTTATATTCCACATGTTTGGTAAAGAATCTAATTGAGTTAGAAATTGATGTACCTTGAATATAAAGCTCCATTTATATTCCTACTTTTTTTCTGGTCCTAAAGTCTACACCATTTTTCTGACTTAATTAGCTTTCCTAATGTTTTAGGAAGTACAAGAATTTACCACTGTTTGTAATATTTCAGGTATTGTGAGCACCTGTATCAGTGGTGGGATTCAATTTTTTTTACTACTGGTTCTGTGGGCGTGGCAAGGGAAGGAGACTGTAAAATCTCCAGTCAGAGGTCATATTTGCTGGTTCTCCGAAGTACTAAAAATTTCTGCTACCGGTTCTCCAGAACTTCTCAGAACCTGCTGAATGCCACCTCTGACCTGCATCATACTTGTGTTAGTATCAGGATAAATCACAGTGTCATATAACCAGGAATTTATTTCTCCTTTAATGCTTTTCATCTTCTTTTAGCTGGAGAGAGAAATTACATATGAGAAACTCACAGAATGGATCAACCCAAAGAAGATGTTCCCAAGAGAAATTAACCTCTCCCTTCCCAAATTTAAATTAGAAGAAGAATATAATCTGAAGCCTGTTCTGAGAAGCATGGGAATGACGGATGCATTTGATGAGGGCAAGGCAGACTTCTCTGGAATGTCAACTAACAATGATTTAGTCCTATCTGAAGTTGTTCACAAATCATTGATAGAAGTCAATGAAGAAGGCACTGAGGCAGCTGCTGCCACTGGTGTAATAATAGTATTTAAGAGTGCACAGCGTCCATTAGAATTCAAAGCTGACCATCCCTTCATCTTTTTTATTACCCCATGATCTACAAACAGCATCCCGTTCTTTGGTAGATATTCCTCTCCATAATGGGTGTGAAAGAATTAGGGCATACATAGAATGCACCTAATTTGATTTTTGATTTCCTGTCAAGCTGAGCTCCATTGTTACCTAATGTGCTAACTGCAAAGATGACACATCTAGGCTAAATTGCCAAGTAGCCTCTCTTGTAACTTTAAATGTGTATTCTAACAAAGTTCTGGACTATACGCCAGAAAATGTATTTGCAGAGCGCTGAGAAAATCATGAGGTATGCCTGAACTAATGAATATGAAATTGTTTCCAACATCATGACAATCTGTGCAAGCTGTGTAAACTATAAGAAGTTTGAGAAAAAAGGTTTTTTTTCTTTTGCAGTGGCGGCTTTGGTTTTTTCTTTTTCTCTCTCTGCCTGCTCTGTTTAAGGTGGGAGATTAAAGGTTGCCCAGTTTTGCTTTCTGCAGAAATGAAAGCTGATTATCAGTAGCTTCGGGTTCAGTTTCATTGGACTTATCAGATTCTGAGCTACTCTTAAAACTCCTACAGGTGCACCCAGCATATGTTGGTACAATGGCTCTGACCGTTAATTCCTCATCAGATTTAAACCATATGGTACTGAACTTTCACTATCACACTTACGATCTTTTCTGTAATTAGGGTAGAGATAGTTCCTTCGTAATACTCCATAATGCTGGATTTTAATTCTTTATGTCCAGAATTATTTTTTAACCAATTCGAGAAAATAAGTTTTTAGTACAAGAGTTCTGATTGGTAGATAAATTCTGCAAAATTGCTTTGCTTATATAGGAATGAGGGCTGTGGGCAGAAGTTGCTAAGCATGAATCAAGTGTATTACAACATAGATGTAACTATATATGTGCCCAGTATACATTTCCATGTGATGATATAAGTACAGTCAGGTCAGAGATAGAGATACACCCTAGCAGAATCTGCACAGCTGTCAGGCAGGCAGGCAAAATATGTGAGATAAACGTTTTTTGTAGCTTACACTCAGTAAAACAGATACACTGTGCTAGTTAAATAGTTTATTCCAGTAAGAGTTATAGCATAGTCAAACATTCCATATATCATTAACTAGTTCAGTCCGTCCGGGGATTATTCAGTTGCAAATTCCAGTGTCAAAAAAGAGGTCGGTAAACTTACAAATATCAGTCCAGGAATATATCTCCTCGCAGTAGAGATATGAAGAAGTCAAAAACTCCTCTCTTCCTTCAGCATCTCAGCAGTAGGGAAAACACGCAGTTAACAAACCATCAATCCATCAAACCAGTCAATCGTCAGGAATCGTCAGGTTCTCTTGCTCCCTCTTATGGCGGTTTCACACCGCACCCAAAATTACATGCTTTGCAGTTTAAAGTGACACACACTTAAACTTACTATTATAGTTTATATATATTATTTTACCCAAACTACGTTAGGTAACCTATGTTATTCCTAACAAGCTTTCATTCTGACATCAAGTTTTATCATTTGAGTGACGTCATGGCTAGTTGTAGCTGCCTCTGCTAAGCTTATAATGGCAAATGTACACAGTGCTAGAATGAGGACGCATACATATTTTTGTGCTCATCATTCAACCAGGCAATTCGATTCTATGTAACACAAATATCTACAAATGATATTTACCTTATACAATTCTTATTTTGCTGCAGTATTTCACTTAAACAAAACTGAAATAAAAGAGCATTCGATTATGTTGCTTTCAGATTTATTAAGAGCTGGTATGATGATAGACTCTTTACATCAGGTGTCCCCAAGGCCTGCTCTGTGGCCTGTACCAGTCCATGGACCGTTGGGAACTGGGCCCACAAAGGGCAGGCAAGCATACAAAGCTTTATTTGCACACGAACGGGATAAGATTGAATGCACAAACCCTTCCACTGCCCCCCCCCCCCACCTCTGTCACCAACCATGTAGTCAAAAGGTGGGGACCGCTGGTTTATATTATTCGACTCCCATATCTCTGAAATTCATCAGTTATACCCAAATTGGATTTCAGGTAGTCCTTGACTGTAATCGAGCACAGAATGATGTTTTTGCAATCATATGTTGTGATATCGTGTGACCAGATTCTATGGTATATTTATTATGATGGTCATTAAGTGAACATGCGGTTGTTAAGGAAATCCATTTCCCCCAATGGGCATTTTTTGCTGGAAACTGGAAGTGAAAGCTGGTAACTGGCAAAGAAAAAAGTTGTCAATTGTGGTCATGGGACCATGGGATGCTGCAAATAGCCATAAAGGTGAGTCAGTTGCCAAGTGCCCCAGATACAACCACATGATCACAAGATGTGTGCCTGGCTACCTTAACTCTAAAACCACATGATAAGTAGCTGTGTGGAGGACTGTTCTAACTTCGTTGAGTGGCCAGTTAGAAGTCAATGACAACCTCTAGAGTAAAAAATTATTTGATTTAATAGGATGGAATGGATATCCGCTTGAGCCAAATGTCCATTGAATTAAATTCATTGTTTTGGTATAGGAATGTGGGCCAATTCATTATTTTAATAATGAATATGGCAAGGTGGATAAAAAGTCTGGTTCTGTCTCCATTACAGCATGGCATATCCCATTGATCCATCTAATTCCTCTCAAATCTTAACAACATTCAGCCTTTCTTTTGTGGCTGCCACATCCTGAGGAAGGACTTTCATCTGGAGTCATGTACCAATGAGAGAGTTTGGGGTAGTGGTTAAGGCATCGGACTAGAAACTGGGAAGTCTAGTTGCGCCTTAGAGATAAAGCCAGCTGGGGGACCTTGGGCCAGTCGTACTTTCTCAGTCTTAGGAAGGAGGCAAAGATTTCTGAACTCTTTCCAACAAAACTGCATGGACTAATCCAGGCTGTCAGGAGTTAACCCTTTTGAAAAGCACATGCGCGCGCGCGCACACACACACACACACACACACACAGAGAGAGAGAAAGCTATCAATCAACAAACTAATTGATGAAATATCTCATTGGCAGTTATATGTATAAGAGATACTAAACACTTGAAAAAAGGATCCTTAAATAATAAGTATGGTCATTAATGGAAAATGTTCCATTTGCAAGTGGCACATGATTACTTCGACAGGGGTGGGATTCAGCCAGTTGGGGCCAATTCGGATGAAACAGATGTTAATTTAACATCCAGTTCGGCGAACCAGTAGTTCCGAAGACCAGCTGGT